AGTGTCGACACTGAAAGCACTGAAGCCTTGTGCAGAGTGTCGACACTGAAAGCACTGAAGCCTTGTGCAGTGTCGACACTGAAAACACTGATCACAAACACTTTAATAATCCTGAATTTCCTGTTTTTCACTCAGCCTAATCAAAACTTGATAAATTAATGTTCTTTGTGAGTAAATTCTACATTTGTTTTAAGATTAAACATATTGTTTGTATATTTTTATGTTAGAGTTTACAGCAGCGTGGAGTCTTAATGATCCGTAGCAGAATGTTCTGATGGCTGCAGAACAAAGAGCGTTTGTTAACAGATCAAAGCCTGATGGAGCCAAACCTCCACCTGACAGCTAATTAATAACTTTATGTTTAAAGAAGCTGCTTCATTTCTTCACACAAGTCACTGAAACATTTACACACTTTATTGAACAATGATTTGTAGCTAAAAGTTAATTTAAGATTTGTAGATGTTTTATTTTTTGTTTACAGTTTGAATAATTTGTTAATGATTAAATGTTTCTGCAGCATAAAATTTATTCTTGTTTTTTCAGTCAAACTGGAAAATAGTAAAATAATCTTGTTAAATATTTCAGTATGTGAAGATTTTTGATTTATGTTCAAAACTGTATGGAAACATTTCCTACTGTCAGCAGAAAAACATTTTTCTGTTAAGTCATAAGTTAGCAACAATAAATATTTAAAGTTAAATCAAATCATGATGTGCTGTTGTTTATTCAGTTCTTGTTGTTGGATTGACACACAGACTGTTTTCTCTTTTTGTGTCTTTAAGAACAGGCTCTCTGCCAGCTGCAGTGTAACTTTATCCTCCTGTTTCTCAGGAATCTCAGCTGGTTTCCATGGAAAACATCATCCCTGTGGAACATGAACAGATCCACAGGTCCATTAACTTATCAGACAGACACGGGCTCAAAGTTTCATTTGATTGTGCAAAATCTAAAAAGAACTAGAAAAAGAGAAAAAGATGAAATGATCACAGGGAGAACCACGTTTGTCAGATGACAGTGATCTCTCATGAAGCTGATTGTTTTTAACTGCAGGTTCTTTTCAACGTATCGTTTGTTTATGTCTGAATCACCAGGTGAGCTGTTTCCTGCATGACCTCAGCTTGTCACTGCAGCCGATACACACGTTTCCTAATCTGCACCTGTGCACAACTAAACTTCAAGCTTCAGCAAATGCTCTCAATCTGACAGATTTGTTAGATCTGTTTGTTGATCACAGTTTCTGTATAATGATCCAAACAACATTTTCTGTATCTGCTAAGATTGGGTCAGGATCTGAAGACTCCAGCTGAAAGGTGTTCCCTTTCAGTCAATTCACTCGGTACAACATCATGTATGGGAACCACGCCCCTGCGTGTCCTGGCTGAAGCC